TAGATATTAAATTTCGGATTTAGGGTTTCATTTGTTTGTGTTTTTTTTGGTTGGGAACAAAGAAAATTGTGGGGTTTAAATAGAAAATCTCTTTTAATTCTTATTTTTTCAGTTTGGGGTGTATTTAAGGGTATGTTGGGAAGATAGTGGGGTTTTCTTAGAAATTGTGAAAATTTAAATTAAAAGTTGGGGTGAACTTAGAACATGAGGTGAACTAAGAGAAGTGTGGGGTTTAAATAGAAAATCTCTCTATTTTTGGGTAAACCAGATAAGCATTGTCCATCCAATTTTGATTCGGTGCAAGCGTGAGACATAGGAGGGAAGGAAACTGCAATCATGTTCTTTTTTTGCATGCAATCCTCTAATTCAATAATAGAACAGATAAATGTAAAGGCTTACATGTTAAAAACTCGGAATTTAGTTAAAAGTCGAAAATCTAAGAGGAGAAATTGGCAATTCCCTTATTTGACAACTCAACAGCGGAATTTATTAAATGACGCACGGAAAAAGTTGTGAAAATTAGAGCATTAAATTTCCGAGTTTAATTTCCACCAAAATAGGCGTCATTTCACAATTTCTATACTATCATTTACAAAATTCGACATATATAAATCAAAACACTGAAATCTTCAATTGCTTGAAATTGAAATGATGGAAATCTAATTCTTCTAAGAAATTTTCAATTCTTGAAAGAGGGTTTAATGATGATTATCAACAGGGGAAAAGACACTGTCATGATTGCAGAATATCCAAGACCCTATTACATGTTTCAGTTTCAGACTCTTTCCAACGGGTAACTAATACAACGCTCTTTTTTTAAAATGATTTTTTTTGGGGTAAACAAATAATAAGGTCCAAGGCTTAGAGAGCCTGCCCTCTCTAATCAGTCGACTCAATCCAGCTGTCCAAGGACCTGTCTTCCTCTAGAATTTCACTAGTCTGTGAATAGCTCAACAGCAACAAGACCTGATTTCAAGATTCAAAATGATGGTAAGAAGCTGTTTAAATCGAGTCTGACGACTTGGGAGATAGAAATAATAAAGACACATTATTCTGTGTTCTGAGAAAATTTGATGTCAAGCATATACTGGTAGGTTGAAATGAGCAACAAGTAGAAATTTCGCATTTGAAAACACAAGAGAATAGATATTCCATTGATGGAAAAATTCTGAAACAGCGAGGATACATGTGCTAAGAAAACAAAATTTAAGAGCTCAACTCTTAAGAAGAAGGAAAGGGCATGTGAGAAGGGTGATCTTACAATCTGCAAACAGCTACGGCTCAGACTTGAGGAGGTCTTCAACAGAGTTTCTGTACTTGGTAATCAGGTCCCTGGAGTTCAGTTGAATAACCAAAAACAAAAGCAACATGTCATTTAATTTAATTGAGCAACTGCAGCATTTACTTAGTCTTAATACAAAAAGTATAGTACTACTAATGTGCACACACCTCCTCTGATTCAACAATTGTTCACTTTCTTCCAGCTTTCGCTTCTGTCCCTCAACCGTCTACAACCACACAAACACACAAGTTCTTAAACATTACACTACAAAACTAATGAAATGTTTCTGGGTATGCTCTGTTACCAAACTATAAATCCAAATCATTGATCATTTAAAACATGCTTGATACAAACTGACTGGCAACATAACATGAAGAAGACTGTAACACAAGATGACATAACACATAAAAACTAAAAACTATCACACTAAACAATGTAGTGCCCCCATTGATTACTCAACAAACCAACAAACCAAGAATCAAAGTTACTTGATTACCATAGCCTTGGTGCTGATTGATCCGGATATGGAGTTCAACAGCTGCTGGCACTTCTCAAAGTGGTTGTTCAAATCACTGATCTGTCAAAACCCATTACCCAATTCAACTGTAAATTCATTAAAAAAAGACTTCAAGATAACAACTTTAATGACAGAAGAAAAAAGCCCCAATTAAACAATACCAATGATTCAGATTGCTGATCCCTAGTGCCATTCTCGATGGTGTCAGCTAATTTCTCCACCAACTGCATTATCAAATCAATCACTTCAAAAAATCAGCAACACTTCATATTGATAAGGATATGTGTATGCATGCATTTATGTTTGTAAATGCTAGGGTTTTTTGTTTTGGGTACATGAAAGATATGGAAGTGTGAGGCGAGTGACTGGTGATGCTGCTGCTGCTGCTGCTGCTGTTGTTGTTGTTGTTGCTGCTGCTGCTGTTGCTGTTGCTGTTGTTGAAGAAGAAGGCGCTGTTGTTGCTGTTGAAACTGTTGTTGTTGTTGTTGCTGCTGCTGCTGCTGATGATGGAGATACATATGGTCCTGACTCGAGGGTGTAGAGGGGTTACTGTGAGTCGGCACGCTTGGAATCATATTCCAGCTTCCTCCCCCTCCTCCTCCTCCAGAGTACGAATGCTCCATTATCTCTCCGCAGAACAATTCTCAGGACGTAAAGTTTTGAACTTTGATTTATGCAGCAGAGTTGAAGAAGCAGCCTGATGCTATACGACGTGTCGTGCTTTTGTGAGTGATTGGGCCGGGTAAAAATTGGGTCTTTAGCCCAAATCAACACTATGTCGTCTCGGGCAGAGAGAGAGAGAGAGAGAGAGCATTGTCTTGCGAACGATTGCAGACCTCATTTTCTAGTTTCCGAGAGAGGAGGAGTTATTTAAAAGGCGGGCGCCATTTCTCAATCTCTCTCTCTTTCTCTCTTTGTCCCCAAATTCACAAACAATAAAGGTTTCAACTTTGTCGAGGAATCAAAGCTTCTTTCTACGGGTTTGCGGTTCGCTTTCTAACTCTTACATTATGTGAATGTATGTGACTGTATGTATGTGATGTTGGTTTTGGGAATTTTGTGATTTCAATGATTTTTGGTGATCGAATTCTATTGTATGATTGAAACTATCATCTGGGTATCTGTAATTTGATTGCTTTGTGCAGAAAACACGTAGCTTAGAGGTTACTAATGTAATTGGAGGAGATTAGAAATTGTTTCATGGAAAAATGGTGTCGACCCAATTTCTGTTTCGGGCATATTTAGTGAATTATTTCTTGTTATAAATTCTATTACAACATTTGCTAAGTAAAATGGCCGTCTGCAATATAAGATTTTGCCTGCAGAAGTTGAATGTATGATGCCTTCACTTTTGTTTTTTGATTTTCTATTGTTTTCAATGACTTTTTTTGTTGAGAAGACCGCATCCAAGAGATCTGGAATCTCTCCAAATTTCATAATATGAGAATTTATTCTAGGAAGTCCATGAAATTCTCGAAGAGGTTAGCAGTTGTGGAAGTTTTGATTTGGGGCTTTGTGGCTTTGTATAACTTGCAAAAGGTTTAGAGCCTGGCAAAGACCAGTTGCACCTATAGGAGAAGTATTCATAATCAGTAGAATGCCTTTTTTTTAAGGGGTTGTTAATGGAGAGGAGTTGGTACCAAATTTGATTTGAAATGAGTTCAGTTATCAGCTTGAGTATTAGTACATTCTCTAGGGATGTAGGTTGCTGTTTTTCAAATTAAAACTAGTTCATATATTGAAAGGATTACTCGGTTTAAAAAAATTATAAGCATTTTAAAACATGTGAGAAAAAAAGAACAGCGGACATATCTTTAATCTGGATTGCAGCAACAAACCAGGCATCACTGCCTCAGAACCATTTGAAACATGTCCCTTTCAGATTTTTTTATTGTTGTTTAATCCTTGATAGCTACCAAATTGCTAACGTTGTAACATTATTATCCAATGTATGTGTTTTGGCTTTCACTTATCATCCTTTGTTGTGTAACGCACAACATTTCGAGTTTGATAAAGTGGGAAATTGCAGGTTGAATAAGATATGGCAGTGAAGCCAACAGTTGCCTTCAGAGCTATACTTGTGGGAGGAATAGCTGCATTTGCCAAAGTAGCTGGTGTAATGAAGGCTGCAGGTGGTGCCAAGGTGGGTGCAGCTGCAGCTATGGCGACTGCAGCAGCAACAGCAGCTATTGGATCAAGAGAATCAAAGGATTCGAAATGAATTAATAATAGATGTAATCTGTAATTTCTGTAGCGTAGTGTTGGATGCCCCAAGGTGTCTTGGGAGCAAATTTGCTGCATTTAAGTTGCAATTTTGAACATAAGACGATTTTGAAGCACTTGAAATAAAAAGATATGGGTTTTTTTTCTGTCCCTATTATTTGAGGATACACATAAAACCATGGCATGAAAACACACAAAGCTTAGTGAAGCCTTAGCCGGGGTACAATGCAGGTAAATGAAGGAGTACAACTTGGGAGATTAGCTTTCTGGCTCTTACAGGCTGAAGCTGTAATACAGATGGATATCGGGAAGATATATAGACCGGACATGTTTAATTACCCGAGCACGTTTCAGAAATTGGACAACTTAAGTAAATAATTGCTTATCGAAAGGCAATTAGGGAAGAGAAGTTTGTCATGCAACTTTCTTACTTAGTAGATAAATATGCAGAATACAAGGAGATGGAGAATTTCACAAATGAATATAATAGAGTCTGTACAGCTTTCTTTTCTTGTCTTGCCTATTGAACATGAAACCTTGTAGACTTTGTATCTGTTAACTGTTATAAACAAACACGATGGAAGAATTCTCAGAAGGACCGGCGTTTCAAAGTGGAGATCAACAGTCCAAGAGTCCAAGTCCCCTTTCAATGTTTTTAAGCAAGACCTAGATCATCTTGTATTAACATAGTACCGCTAAAGTTGATGCACATTCGATTTCCTTGGACCACAAGTAAAGTCTGGCTGATCAACTAACTGTACCACAAGCTCCGGGTTTGGAGATTCTAACTCAAATATGACCTGTGCAATGGTAAAAACAAATGGAAGTTCAAGCCAAAGCAAGCACTGAAAAAGAATATGAGAAACAATATGTTTAAACATCTTTCCCTGAATTATATCGATTTGGAAGCAGAACATTAAAACACAAGGATTAGATACCATAATTTATTTCCTTTAAAAGTTGAGCCTTTTTCAAAGAAGACAATCGCTGGAATGAAGATATAGGCTAGCTTAAGATTCAATTATGATTATATGTATATATAGATATAATAATTTTTCATCTAACCTTAAAACAAAATTTAAAGAAAAATAACAAAAGAAGATAACTCTTTTTTTTTTTTTTTTTTTTAATGGGGTCAGAACAAAAGAAGATGTCCAACGTAAATGAGAAATAAAAAATAGCTTTTGGCATCTCATACCACAACATTCTTCCCATTCTGAAGGATGGGAGCTGGAACGTAGAGGTTGCATTGTGGTCCCTTTAACTGCAAAAGGCACCATGTTTCAAATGTTGGAGTAAAAGAACTCGTGTTCTAATATCAAAACACACAGGAAAGTTATGAACAAGGGAAATAGAAACATGATTTTACCGGCCAAAATCTTCCTATATTGAAATTGTTAATAGTTACAATTCCTTTACCCCACCCGCTCAATGATATGAATGTATCTTTGATTATGTCTTCTTTGCTAATATAAAAATATCCAGCATAGAATGCCGGTTCTTTCGAAGCATTCCCTGAAAAGAAAGCCAATGTCAGTAATTGATTGACCTCATTAATTCTGCATGTTTGCAACATGGTATAGGAAAGAACATAGAGACATGTATTTGAGAGCATACCAGACTTCTGTTTTAACCTTTTGTGGGCTGACATAGTAATGAATCCAGAATTTGCAGCCTGAATTATGGGATTGGGATTGATTTTGGGGGATTCGTTCAGGTTGATTATGGGCACCAAATACATTTTCCATTTACGGAGAATTCTCCCATCTAGATAAACAGGAGATAGAATACCCTGAAAAAGAGAGTAAGAAAACCAGTCAAATATCATTGTCATCCGTTATGCGAGGACACACTTTGTTTTTCAGATGTTAAGAGAAACTGACATAAGTACAATTCTCGACTTCAGTTAGGTGGTGTAGAAAATAATTACCTGAACAGTGATTATGCCACATGCATGTCTTACAAAGTTTAATAGCATAATAATTATGTCTTACATGTATTGTTTTTTTGTTGTTTCTGCTTCCTTCTTCTGTTCATTAGTTCTTAGTTTTGGTGTGTCTGTCCTGTTTGTTTGGTTGGGATTGGCTCCCATTTGGGCCTTTGCCGGTTGGCTTTTATGATATATTTGTTGACCCAAAAAAACCTAATGTAACTTACAACCAGACCTATGAATCATTGCTCATTTTTTGGAAGTTCAAACTACCGCTGAAAATATATCACATACGTCGAACAAGGATAACAGAGTGTGATTCGAATCCATATATTTGTAATCAAAAGCATACAGGACAAACTTTGATCATTAAGAATTGAATGACATTGGCAAATACACTTATGCTTCATAATCATATCAAGAAATAGAGAAAAAAAAAAGTTCCATACTTACAACTGACTTACCTTCCTGTCAAAGATATATGGTCCATAGTTAAGACGACCCATATTTTCAACCTATAAGAACAACAGATATCAAATTAGGGGGAAGAAATCCCCTTCGGATGTTAAGAAATGAAAGCAAGATTATGAAGGGAAAAAGTAGAGAAGACATTCGAGTACCAACACAAGTAAGCTGATGTTGGAGAGACATTTAGTATTAGGAAGGGTTAGAGGTTGATTTGACCATCTTTCAAGCGTGCCAACATATGTTGGCTTTTCATGACCATCTTCGGAAGGGCACGATATAAAAACTTGAGCTCTGTCATGCACCTGCAACATGAAATAAAATTTCAAACCCTTTTAGACCACTAAAATATTGTTAGCTATTTTATATACACTGAACATATATAGATAAATGTGTGGCTTGGACTCTGAACAAATGAGAGGCAATACTATGAGAGTAAATAAATATCTAACAGTAAATTAACGTAAACAGTAATGCTGCACCTTTGGTATAGATACAATGCTTTCACCACCATTGTCTTTTGCAGTATACTCGGTTACGTATAACAGAAATCCAAACATCTGAAAGTTGGAAGCATTCATCTAATTACATCACTTGATCACCATGAACAACTGTAAACAAATAGAAAGCTACAAACACATATTCTTACACACCTGGCCCATTGACTCCATTGATATTGGGTTGTCAGATTCAACCACGTCAAAATAACGTATCAATTCAAACAAATTCCCTGTTTTAGTTACATTAATAGATCCGTATGCCTTCTTCTCATTATCCGATGGAACTGCAGGGAGAGATACTGAACTGTATTGCTCTACAACCCTCCTAAGTGCTGAAAGAAGTACACCATTAATGATAAACCATGTTGTTGCAAATTTGCAAACCATATAGCAAGAAGATTTTATTCCAGTACAAAAGAATATACAGTGTAAAGTGATACCTTTGAATTTTGCGTTGTTTACATCCCCAGATTCCCTAATCGGTGCATCCTGGGAAAACAGGTGTATCAGTTATGTGTTTATAGTTTGTAGTAGCATGAACTAATACCAAGTTACAGCAAAGAAGAAAAATCTTCCTCACATAATCATAGGAAGTGAGGTCAGGCTTGTAATCGGACTCATCCGAACCAGTATTTGCTCCATTATAAAATCCAAAGTTTGTTCCCCCATGTGCCATCTGGAAATTTGAAATTTTAGGTTAAGCTTTACTTGAAAGCAGGAAAAGTATTGACTTTTAGGACATACATAAAGTACTGCAGAACCATTTCTTTCCAAAATATTTTTCAAGGCAGCTGCCGTAAAATCCGCACTAGTCTGCGCATTCTTCTCCCCCCAGTGTGTAAGCCAACCTGTGTAAAACTCTCTGAAGCAAGCATTTTAACTGCCGCCAACAAAATTAATTAATAATGACCAACAAGATACTTACGAAGAAAGTGGTGGTGATTTCCCTGGGGCATTGAACTCCTTTTGCAACTCAAATATAGGCCAAGGGTTGTCACCAGTAGTGAAGTCAACAGCTGCAAATGAGAAATAGAGATTAGGTCATAAGCAGAAAACATAATACACTCATAAGAGCTTATACATTGCTTCAAGAGCAAAATTTGAGAAATTTAATAGGCCTTTTCCTTTCTGATGAGTGATATACAAGGAAAAATTTCCAGTAGACTGCCCCAATCTGTAAAATTTACCTTTCAACAACTCAGAGAAAGAATTTCTCCCTGAGGCCTAGAAAAGACATGTTGCACTAAAGTAGCATAAAAAATTAAGTATCGGAAAGCCAAAAGGAAACAATTATAATGGATAAAAACTCTGTTAAGTGCATAGATCGCTCCAAATTAAGTATCGGAAAGCCAAAGGAAACAATTATAATGGATAAAAACTCTGTTGAGTGCACAGATTGCTCACGTGGACAGTATACAATGTTTTAGTGAACACACGGTAGTGAAAAAACTGACAGACAAATAATCAAGCTATATGTATCAAGGTGTTTAATGGGTAATAGTAAGTGAATAACTAAAGAAATGGTTAATAACAGTAGAGAGAAAGAAGTTTTAAGAATTAATGTTCATAATTTATAACTTAGGTATAGGTTGAGGTTGAACTTTACCTGAAAATACAGCATCTCCATGAATTGTGCCTTTTTCAAGTGTTTCCCTAGAACCTCCATCTGTAGTATACCTAAAAACCATTACAATGAAACTTGAAAATTATAAGAAAGTGCTACGCCAAAAGTCCATTTGCTCAAAGTATGTATTGGAAATCTTTTCTTTCATATATAATAGTTGGAGCTCTAATTAGTTGAACTAACCACCATGAATGAATCATGATTGTTCCGTAGTGCACACATCAAAATAACAATAAAACACATTATGAACATAAGGCCGAAGGACTTACAAAATAACATCATCCCCAAGGTGCTTTCTAGCCAATGAGACCAGGTGATGAAGATAAGCTTTGTCGTCCCCATATGAACCAAATTCATTTTCAATCTGTCAGAAAAATGGTGCTTTACTGTAATTTTTCAACAATACTATCTCAAAAGTAAGAGCTTCAAGCTTTTCAAAATTAACTTGACAATTTTGAACAATAAATAAGACACCTCAAAGATGATATGAAGATTTATATGCAAGTTGATTGCTAGAATAAATGGACTCCACCAGATGCAGAATTCTGCTACTACATGTCTATGAATTTCTATAACTTTTTAGGAGTTAAGAAATATCTGGAACTCCTGAGTGAGAGTACACAACTTTAAAGAGAAAATCCATGAAGACTTTCTTAAGTATCTATTTTTCTAAACTGAAAAACCATCAGTCCCTCCCCCCCTGTATAATATAAGTGGAACATTTAATAGGTTTTGCCATTGGTACATGTTATGAAGATTTTTTATTTTTTTATTTTTTATTTTTAATGAAGTTGGATCATTGTGCCACTTTTTAAAATTTATTTGAACTTAAAAAATTCAGAATAATTTTTCCAGACTTAGTATTGGAGGGCCCTGGCCATAATGTTGTAACAGTTGTACAAAATTGGACAAATTAAATTGAGTTCCAACCCGTCAACAAAAGCTTCCATTTAGTTCTGAGACTATAAAACTTGATTCTTGGCATTATACATTTAAAATAAATAAATAAATCTTTCTGTTAAGTATTATAAAGAAAGGCAAGGCGGAAAATTAAAAATTCACACACCTGAACCATTATAATAGGACCTCCACTGCCATAAAGAAGGGGGGCTACCTTCGGAAGTAGGCTTCCCCACCATCTTTCAACCTTTAACAGTTCACAGCCATATCAAAATATTGAAGAGAACAAATATATTGTTAGTCCCAGAGCATAAACTCTATGGGTCACAATTGACCATCATTAAGAATAACCAGAGGCATTTGCACCAAAACAAGTGATCAGAAACATAATTTACAAAGATTATTTGGATAAGTAATCAGTATATATTGAAAAATGCCAAGGTGGGACAACTTGGTACAGAAACAAAGAAAAAAAGGAAATTAAGATAAAATCATAAAAATGATAGAAAATCTGGTAACGGGCACAGAGTGGCAAAGTGTGAGGCATCCATGAATACAACATCTACTATGGTTGTCCATTCCTTTAAAATATCTAGAATTTCTTTCTATCTGTTAGAATAATAGAACAATAGTTGGGCCGCATCCTAACGGTTAAAGTTTCAAGGAACAATGTGAGACAAAAAGACTATTAACATATTTTTATGGTCAAATCCCTATAACTACAACCTCCCAATTAGTGTTGAATTCCAATGTGTTGAGCTCTCTAGTGGTGGAGAGCCTACAAGTGAGGGGAGCCTTAAAATTTAAAAAACAAAAGTTGTCCACAACACTCACTTCCTATCCAATGCTGCCAAATTTGCTTCCCACAATTTTTTCATCAATCAACACCATTTTTTTAGTTGTTTATTTATTTCTTTTGGTAAGTAGCAATTAAGACCCTTTTCTACTTGAACATCCAATTGACATCACCAGATTCAAAATATGAGATCTAATAACCCAAAGTTAGATTCAGTAGACCGATTTAGGATACATCCTAAATAGCACAAAGAAGAGAATGCATAAGGAAAACATACCAATTGAAGGAAAGCAGGATCTGATGATCTTAGTCTGGGAGCTGGATTGATGGCAAGCAACCAAGGAGGGAAACCCCCCAAATCCCACTCTGCAATATACACATATTCACATCAGTTATCGGAAAATATTTTTCATACATTTAATCCAAGCAGTAGAACAATTAGACGTTTACATTAAAAAACCGATTGAAGGATCCAATTTAGCTTCAATATAAAACACACTTTGGAAACAAGACACATTTTAGTGGAAAATAGGGGGAGGAGGCATGCATATAGTTAACCTAAAGGAACACGGCAAATTAACAAAGCCCCTTAACAGTTGACACAGAGATCCTAGATACAGCAGTCACAACTGACCTGCACATATATATGGTCCAGCTCGAAGCATAACCAGAATACCAAGCCTCTGGGAGAGTTTGAGAAATGATACTAAATCTGCAATACCCTCAAAATCCAAAGTACCAGCTCTTGGTTCATGTAGGTTCCAGGGAACATAAGTTTGAATGGTATTTAATCCCAATGCCTTTGCTCTCAACAGCCTATCTTCCCAGTACTGCATTGATAAATGTAACACACTACATCACCACAATACAAGAAAGCCTTCACTGTAACATAAATATTTGCAAACATCCCATGCATCTTCACTGTATATAAATATTTGAGGTAACATCCATGGAATATGATGCTCCGGATTAGGTTCATCAAGAAATTTCTAAAGTTGTATTGGATTCATGGATAGTGGCTCAGTCTCTTAATTTTTCACTTTTTACTTCATTCAAGTGTAAAAAGTAGTCATTTTAAGGAGGGCGACTACAGACAGACTTTGAATATGATTTTCTATTATGATAATATGGAGTTGAGCTTTTTCATTTCCAAGCCACCAGGGACATATTTAAGAATAATATGCAGGCAGCTTATGATATTAGTAATTCAACACTAAGTACTCAGAAGGACCAATGAAAGAAACATACCTCAGGAAGAACCCGGAAATAATGCAAGTCACCCCCAATGATCTGGAAAGGCTGACCATCTTTCCAGAACTTATCGTCTGAAATTTCAAACTTTCGAGCATAACCGTGATTCTGAAAAACGACCAAACAAAACTCTTAGTCCACTAGAAGAACATATCACAGAATTCTTTTTGGAAAATAAGGGTCACGAGTCACGAGTCACTACAAATGAGTATAGTTTAAATTTGGCTCCAACTTGATAATCAATTTGCAAAACACATTGCTGAAACATAAGTCAGAAAGTAAAACCTTAAACTCAAATCAGGCAAACATTTGCTTGCAGTGTAAGTTGGTTCAAATGCACTTCCGTTTCTTGACCCATGGATCTAATAACCAAAAGCTTGTTTTTTTTAAAAAAAAAATTTTATTTCTTAAACGTGCTATGAACCAAGTAGAATGTCATCTGCTACATATAGGGCTGAGATCACATGACCCAAAAATCAAACACTTGACGGAACCAGATAACGACCAAAGCAGAACAATTCTGTTCTATACAGTTCGTTCAATTCTTAGCTCAGACAAATTATTTGAAACAAATCAAACTGACCCAGAATTTATTTCAACTCAATTTCCATTTTCCATGAAAATACCAGAAAGAGAAAGACTTACTTTTTTGGTGGCAGGAAGGAGCTGCTGTTGATGGTGATGGAGAGAGTGGGAAGACAGAGAAGGTAGAAGAGCGAAGACAGGGACAAAGATACCGAAGGCTATGAGAGAGAGAAAGATGATGAAAAACAAGGTGAGTGTTTTGCATCTCTTCCTCACCATTGTTGACCACTTGGAGCTTGACACTAAGCTACGGTATTGGTTCTTATACTTCATTCATTCCCCTACAGGGAGGGGACAAATTTCAGCTCCGTTTCACTTAACGGTCAAGTTTAGTGTCACTCTTTTTTACCATCCACCTACCCTGCTCCTCTAACTTACAAAATAATCTTGACCAAATCTTTTTTTACACTTGCAAAATAATCCAGTTTCTGTTCGACCCTTGACTGCTAAATAGTTCTCATCAATTTTGCCCGTGAAGAAAAAACAAAGACTTCAAATCTTTTGCTTTTATTGTGAACTTCTATGTTTTTCAAGGAAAAGTCTTATACTTGATGAACTGTAGCATGAAATGATGTTTCAACTTTTCTATTTGTCCATGGAGGCTTGATTGGGCAATAGAATAAATGAGGAGAAGAAACCTTCTCCATCCCAGGTGATTGTTGTAATGGAGGACAATAAAAGTTTTGTTTTTGGGCCTTTCTTTGTGTATTTTTTATATATGGTGTGCATTCAGAAGCTCCTTGAGTATATTATAAGCAATTGTTAACAGGGCATAATCTAGTGGAAAATGTCCATAATTCATAAATTAGTGACTCCAAGTTCGAATTCCCATGGCACATTGGCGCCGTGTGTGAAACACTCCCTCTCCCTTCCTGACTTTGACAGAAAAATAAAGTATAATAAGCAATTACTGTATATGAAAATAAAATGAATATAATGAGCTCTGGCAAGAATAAAATGCATACAATGAGCAGTTGGGCCTTTTATCCATTTTAACCCAAATGAGCTCACCCATCTTCAAGTTGGCCCAGGTCTAAAAACATGCTCCTGGCAGCAGGCCCAACTACCCATTTGCTATAGAGTGGCGAAATTCTTTGGAGTGATGTTAAGGGCACCCAAGAATTGTCTTGGGATACTCAGGAATTGCCCAAGAGAATCGTGTGTTTAGACCTTTTTCATAACATCTTTCGACAAAAAAAAAAGGACCTTTTTCATAACATATGGTCATTAAAATATTGAGGAGATTTCTTGCATTCAATTTTGTGTTGCCGTTGTTGTGGGTGTTTTTTTTTTTAAAAGCCAAAATTAAGAAAAGGAAATGAGGTTCTCTCACACATACTGTTAAGGTGCCTGCTATAATAGTTCAAACGTAAGACTGTTGATTTGTAATTAAGGTCATTTTTCACTAAACTAGACCCCGTTAATGTCCTTGTTGTAGTTAATTGTGTGATCTTGAGTTTGTATGAGTTTATCCACAAATTGATTAAGTGGGGGAAGAAAGCCTTTGCTTCCCAACAAATAACAAATGAGGAATAATGGCAGTGTGGAAAATATACTTTTTGACTAAAGTAACAAAAGGATTATTTTTTTCCTCTTTTAAATGATTATGATGATGATGTAGGTTAATTGCTCTAATTCCCATGCATGCAATGATTCAAAAACACAAAAAGTAGTGAAATGAATAAAATAGCCCCTAAAACATGTAATAATCATTACCTTCTGCTAAGATTTTAATTCAGCATTCCTTTGCCATATGGCTTCTTAATTTATGTTTTACATCTGCATATAAGTCACCAATATTAATTAACCCCTCTCATCATCACTGGTACAAGTAAGAGAGAGAAATGTCATCATCACATATGCAACAATTTCAGACCAGTTCCAGCCATACCACAATGATTGTTCATGAGCAGCAAGCAGGCTAGCCTGCCATTACTTTTTGAAAAGAGAACAAGAGATATATCCAGATCTCTCTCCTATTCCTATGTGCATGAGAGAGAGAGAGAGAGAGAGAGAGAGAGAGAGAGAGAGAGATGGTAAGTCAAATAAAAAGGTGACATTATTAACACAAAGAGAGCAAAACATCTTTACAAAGACAAGTCAACTGGTTTTTAGCCATGCCAACCATAAAAATACACAAACAAACAAACTCATTCGCCATTTCATTTTTATTCTGGCAACTCGTCAGCTCAGCAGCTTTGGTAATTTTCTGCAGCTTTTAGATATATCTTTCTTTCTTCTTTTTTCTATAGCTAAGCTTACCTAAACCCACCAGACAAAAAGCACCCACTAAAGCATCCAATTTATATAGACGCTAGCCGAGCCTGAGCAGGGAGGGCCAGCCTTCAACCCAACCAAAAACAAAAGAAGAAAAAGGTATAGGCATGCCTTGGGCTTAGGGACTGAGCCCACCTCTCCTTACCTATTTTATGAAATGACAAACATGCTCTCCTACATCACTCATGCTTCATGCTCAAAGCAAACATCAAAATGGCATTGTTGGCATGTGTGTAATTTCAGAAATCTCTCTCTCTCTCTCTCTCTCTCTCTCTCTCTCATACAACATTTCATTATAAGATGATGATCATGCATGAGAGAAGTGGGAAATCAGAGGAATCTTTTGTTGATCTAAATTTATTTAATTACTTTCTGAAAACCAATGAAAAGGACAGGTGCCAATTAGAGACCACTCTCCCAAAGTAAGCCCAGACACATCTATACATGCATTATGTATATCTATATTCATATATTGACCTAACATTGCAACAATATATATATATATATATATCTTTGGGGATGAGAATCTCTTTATATAACTCTGATTTTTTTTTTTATAAACCCACTTTAACTGATGATAGGCTAATCATTTCTTAATTATTTGATTGCTCAACACATATGATATAAATTTATATACATATGTAAATTTATTAATTAATTGATTAAGTCTCCCTCTAGCTCTTTCTCTCTTGCGTCCGCACATGAACACACACGTACACACAAAGAAACATTATATATATATATATATATAAATTTTGGTTACTTGAAGCTTGAGAATTTAGGGTTCGTTTATGAGTGATTCTGGATATGCCATAATCACTTATGAGGAGAATCATCTCTCATGTGCTTCTCCATGATTTTAAGTGATTTTAAACATAAACACCTCTCATGTGCTTCTCCATAAAGATGTTTTGTGACATATTCAGAATCACTCCCAAACGGACCCTTAAGGAAGTTAATTAGGAGGCAATTATTTAATGGTGGCTGATCTGTTGAGAAGGCACTTGCAGAAGCACTAACTAATCATGCATCTTATATAAATATACCAGAAACTAGAAAGTGAAATAATAGCCCTTTAGAAATTAGTATCTTAATGGCAATATATATAATCCTTGATTTACTTAATTAATATAAGCACTGATGATCATAAGAGTTGCTATCTAACTTAATTTACAATATCAAGCAATAGCAACACCCATGGAAGTAATAACATCAGGTTACAATTATTAATTCTTACAACCAGTCACATCAATTTCTCTTTTTTCTTTCCACTTTTTAAGAAAATATTCCCACACTTCTATTATAATTTAATTTATATCTAGAAAGAACAAAATCATGTTGACCCACTACTGAGCTTTTTCTATTTTTTTTTATTTTTTTTAATTATGGTGGAAATATTCAAAACCCATTTCTCACCTTGTCCAATTTTCCCACTCTAGGTACTATATATGTGGAAATATCCATGAAAATACAGAACACCTCTCTCTCTCTCTCTTATGTATATAATTCTAACTATTTTATGGGGACAAATTATTTTTAAAAAATGGTGCATTAACTCTACAATAGCAAAGAATTACAGAATACTACCTGTAATGATATTTTACGTCAATCACGCACTGTTACATAAACAAATCACGCATGATGATATAATACGTGATTTGTTTGGAATATTGCCACAGTGGCATAAAGTGAGGTACAAATTTCTTGAGCCAATGAGAAAGAGTGATCTTACCTCGGGATTGAATCCCACTTGTACCCACATTAGGTGTCAAACAGCATCTCTATTTTTCTATCTCTTTTGTTTTGAATTGAGCAGCAATATCCAAACACAACCAAAGCTAACTTTGCTCAGCCTACATGTTCCATGTACTGTGTACATGTACACATCCTTTCTGCCTTGAGCACATTTCACGAATCTTTTTGCTTGGAGAATCCAATGCTTTTTTGTACCCATAATCCGTATCCCACCCCTACATCACTTTTACTAACATGCATATGTTCGCATATTCAAAGTCCCCTGCTTTAAAATTAGATAGTAATAATATATTGCTACATGAGAGAGAGAGAGAGAGAGAGAGAGAGCTAAACCTACATAAGATTTGAATCATTAATTAGTGTGAGTTTAAGTATATGATCGAATGCTTAAGACAAATTATTTTTACTTTTTGCAAATTATGTTTGAAGTGGGCCCACATATTGGACCGCCCACGATTTTGGGGGTAGTGGCAGCATAATTTATTTACTTTTTTTGCCTTTAATGGGAAGTACCAACTCAATCTCAATATAATTAAGAGAGTGAAATTGAACACAAGAGGAAGCTTTAGGGGAAGTTTTGTTGTTGCCCTACTCAATCCTGCATGGTGTTCCTGTTTACCAATGTCTTAAATTTAATGGGTTTTGGAGTGACCCATGCACTATGCAGTCAAACTGACATGTCTCTGGACTGGATGAGTAAGGTAACATGACAAAATACTAACTATTTTTCAACATTTTTGTGTTTTGTTTGATTTGTTTTCTTGGTATAGTAACAACACTCATAAATTATTATTGTGGGACCTACCTTTATATATATATATATATATATGTTACATTCATGTAAGATGTTAGCTAGGTACATCTTCTTACATTGGAACCTCTTGTTTTGTTGCTAAGTTGACATGGCGAACCTCTTGTTTTGTTGCTAAGTTGACTTGTGCGCCAGAGCTCATACTTACCTGGTAAAGAGCGAAGTATTTGTATTTCATGAATACTTGAACCATTTGATAAGTATTTGCTAATACAACGTATATGTTCCATGCACGCTAATTGGTATATGTATCAAATTAATCTTAATATATATTTATATATAGACAACCATAATATTACCATGAATTATAACTTGGAAAATTAAAACCATGGGGCAAAAGATTTGTCAAAAAGAGCCACATACGTAAGTCATTAATTAAAATGCCGGCATATCAAGTTTGATCATATCACGAGGCCTTCCCTTTGGGAAGAAGATTGACAGACAGTAATTAAGACAAAAAGAGTA